TGTATTGGAGTAGGTATTGGTCAGCCAGCTGTGCGTTCATCAGTGAGGTGAGTTAATATGGAAATGGCAATATATGTACAGATGTACATATGTATGTTAGTAGGTATTTATATTAGTGTATGTATCTACCATACATTCATTGGATGTGGCTAACAGGGCAATTCTGGTAACTGTATGGCAAAAGTATTTGGAAAGGCAACTATCTTGAAATATCTTTCCAGCCTCTCGGAAGGCTACTTGAAAGATCTGCTAATGAGAAGCTCTTAGTCGTAATCAGTTTGTCTTTTTGCAAGAGTTTCTTGAAAATTTCATTAAAAAGAAAAAAATATATATCCTTTGTTCTAAAGCAATAAATATTAAACTAACTACTTGTTTAATAAAAATTTTAATTTAAAACGAAATTATTCCTTTTTTAAACCATATTAACCAAAAATTAAAAGATAATTTAACTAAAAAATAAAAAATTGTTATTAAAAAAAAATTTAATAAAAGTTAAAAGAAAATCAAATAAAAATGAATTAAGTTAATATATAAAATACGTGGGTAAAAATTAAAATAAATAAAAAATAATATTTGCTCTTCTTTTTAAAACAATTAGAAATAAAAATTAAAAGACAATTAAATAAAGAAATAAAATAAAAAATGAAAAAATAAATCAAATATATTTCTACAAATTTAATGAAAATGCAAAATATGTAGGTATATTTGTCAATAAAAACTAAAAATTAAAAGACAATTAAATCAAAAAGTGAGGAAAAAGTAAATTAGGGAGAAAAAAAAAAATAAAATAAATACATTGTTCTTTTTAAAACGAAAAATCTGAATTAAAAAAAAATAAATAAAATAAGTTCTAAAAAATTAAATAATATTGAAAAATATAGTTTTTTTTAAACCGTAAAATCTAAATATTAAAAGAAAATTATTAAAAAAAGAAGTAAATAAGGTCTAAAAATTACATGAATATTAGCAAAAATATAGACTTTACTGCTACTTCTTCTTCCATGTTGTGCAAAAATCTCCTAACTGAATCGATTACCAGTGTCTTACTAGAACAAAATATGCATTCAGTTTTATGCGAGTATTTCGACTGCTGAGTGGAAGATCGTCAAATCTCAGCAGCCAGTTCGAAAACGTTTTTTTTTTCAAACAGCTTTTCAAAAACGCTCTATTTCAGATTTTGGTACAAAATCGCCATATCTCAGCATATTTTCAATATATTTTCAAATGAGATGGGACATTTTTGAACCGAATTTCAGGATATGGCGTTCTTCTACCAAATTCAGAGATAGGGTATTTTTCAATAAAATTCTGAAGTTTTTTGAGATAAGACGTTTTTCGAAATGGCTCCCGAGATGGGTCGATCTTCCACTCAGCCGTCGATCTGCAAATTCAAAACTTTAAAGAAGTTTTTCTCGAGTTTTGCTTTTGAGATTTATAACGCCATTATTCTCTTTTTAAAACAATAAAAACTGAAAAAAAATGGAAGGCCAATTAAAAAATGAAAACATATCAAATTAAAAAAAAAAATCTTAAAACTAAATGAAATTAAAAAATAAAATCAATTTCTTTTTAAAACAATAAAATAAAAATATTTAAAGGAAACTGAAAAAAATGTTTAATCAAAAGAAGAAAAAATAAAATAAATTCCCTCAATCTAAATGCAATTAAAAAGAATTCTTTTAAGAGAGAAGAAAGTAGAAAAAATGCCGCTGCCCGACGATTCGAATCTCGAAACTCTCGGATGGCACGGCAGTGCTTTATTCAGTCATTGCGATTGTTGTAAAAGGGACAAAATATTCACATTAGGGTGGCCCTTAAATGAAGGAAGCAAATTTTACATCAGATTTCGTAAGCCTCAAGCCCTACGCTAATATAGTCGAAGATATCACATATAAATTTTGGTGTCCCGAGGGGGTTCGCACAGGGGGCAAAGCCCCGAATATAATACCCAAAATGGATACTACCATAGTCGAAAATATCATATATAAATATTGGTCCCGATCGAAGTCGGTAAGTCGGTTAAGGTGTGTAGCGCAGGGGTAAAAGTTCAGATTAGAGTATGAAGATTTTAGAAGTATCGAGTTTTGAGTATTAAACGATTTTTTTTTTAATTTTTTGAGTCCATAGAGGCATTTGGCCTTTGACCGCGACATGCCTTAATCTTCGACTATGGTAGTATCGATTTTTAGTATTAGATGAAAAAGAAATAGTAATTTAATTTTTTGAGTCTCTATAGAGCAATCTGTGCTTTGCACCCTGTGTGACAAGCCGTAACCATATCCAATCGGAACCAAAATGTACATACATATACATATGTGATAACTGTGACCGTGGTATTACCGAATGAGGATGTCAAAATGACAAAAATCGGGCATGTGAATTTAAGAACTACCCTAATGTACATATAAAGATTAAGTTTTTAAAAAATTTTATTTAATTAAAAGCATAAATATTTATGTATTTTCTAAACAATAAAAGCTGAAAATCTAATGAAAATTAAATTGAAAAGGAAAAAATAAAAAATAGGAAAAAAAATTCCCGGGCTGCCGAAAGATGCTCACCTTGGATCTTGCGAATGGCATGCCAATGCTTTGCTTACTCGGCAATTGCAACTGAGATTTTCACCATTACAAGTTGGCAAGGAAGCTTTTTTATGTAAGACTTTCGGTCCGAAAAACCAATATATTTCAAACTATCTTCGCCTACTCTCTTTCAATTGTCTAACAAAAGACTTGCAACTAATTTAGTTAGAATTGCCCCGTAACTGATACCGTGGCGGCTTGCTGTTTGATTAAGCGTCATACTGACAGGTAACTTACACGCACACATACATACATACATACCTGTTTAGCGGTCTTTTGAACCTTGCCACGCACACACACACACACACACAACACGCCACACTTACTTACCACCCATTAGTGGAGCATGCAATTGGCAGTCAAGCATTTTGCTAAACTTAAATTTGGTCAGTGAGATATTTTCGTATTGATTGTGGAGTTAACTGCACAGTTAGTGGAGTAGAGCAGAGCAACGCAGCGCCGCGCCGCGCCGCGCAAAGCGTTGAACCACATTGAGCGATTTTCAGGTTCGAAAAAGCGCTGTTTGTTGCGGTGTTGCGATGGTTGGTGGCCACTGCCGGCAGTGAAAGGTTATTTTGGGTTTTGTGTGTGCGCAGGTAAATATGCAGTTGGGTGGGTGAGCAGGGCGGTGGCTGACAGGCGTGTAAATACACCAACACCAAGTATATATATATGTATGTATTACTCTAGTTCTGTTGCACTTATGCAGCGCCACTCATAATATTGTTATTACGATTGCGACTGTTGTTGTTATTGTTGCACCGGCTTGTAAGCATTTTAGAAGCATTTTTTTCTGTTGTTGTTTTGAGTTTGTTACAAGACAAGTTTCGTTACAATTTGAAGTTTGGCCGCCGCCCGGCATTCTTCCTGCTCTGCATTGGCACTACTGCTATATGGTTTTTGTTATTGTTACTTCTTTAATATACGTATTTTGTTTTTGCACATTTTGTATTGATCTTTTTTGGTTAGCGCAATTATTTTGTGGCGCTGCATATGAAGTTCAACAAATTTTTTAGTATAAAAGTTAGCTCAAATTCGTATTCGAAATCAGAATTAAGTCAGCATTTCTTGAGTGTGCAACAGCAGTAAACTAATAAGTCTTTTTCCTTACTTCTACTTGTATAAAACCCTTCTCCAGCAAACATGAAGGTAATTCGGGTAGTTGGAGTGTTCGAAAAGTGCTAGATTTTTGTGAAAATATAAATAACTATGTAGGAAGTATATAAACTTGCAATTAAAGAATAAAAAAATTATCAAAAAAAGGTTCCTTAAAAAATGTTGAGTTGAAACAATACTAAAATTGAAATTTAGTGATCTATAAAGCACGAATGGCATTTGGAAATAGGGTCGTTTTCCAAGTAGAAAAATCAGTAATATTTACTTACTTTTTTTAAGTGCAAAATGTGTATTTAAACTTTTGTTTTTAAATTCTTAGTAAACATTCAATTGAAATTTTTGCAACTTCTAATATTTTTGTTTTAGAAAATAATTTCCAATTCTTAAACAAAAAATTAAAAGATTTCCAATAAATTATTACTGGTTATTACCCACTTCCGAATGATATTAAAACCGATCAAGCATATTAAAATAAGTGTTTTGGAGCAATTTCAGTAAAAGCTAAACTATTTTTATACAAAATGATGATTTTATCGAATTTTAAGTTAATATTTAATAGCGCTTATGGAACTAAACAGTTATATAATTTACTATGCTTTTGAAAATGTTCTGAAATTTAAAAATTTAGTAGATTCTGAACCCAAAACCAAATTTTCTGTGCAAATAAATTTTAGTTGCGAAAAAAATTTGAAAGCTATTAAAAACAGTCTCCCACATTAAAATCAAAAAACTACACTGTAAATTTAACAATTTACATAAAATGCTCACTAAATATTAAATAAAATAAAATTAAATTTAAGAAAATTACATGAAAAAAATTCAAGTTTTAAAATAAATTTTTTCTATTAATGTTAATCTTCATGGAACATTTAGATTTGTGTGGGTGTCAATTAAGAAATATTACCAGCACAAGTAAAGCAAACAGGACCTTTAAAGTTCTTCATTCCCATTTTTCAGTTTGAAAAAAATTTTAAATTTTAAAAATAACGCCACGCAAAACAAGTTAATTAAATGTTTTTTTTTTAACTACAACGCATTTTCTCTCCATCTCCCTGTTTTTCAGTTCGTCGTCGCCGTAGTCATGTTGGCTCTTGCCGTTGGCGTGCACTCATCTCTGTTGACAGCCCATATCGCACCAGCCGTGTCGTATGTCACCTCATCACTGCACCCAGGCCCCCTACTCGCGCATGGCGCCTACGGCGGACTTGGAGGACTCGGCCCATGGGGCGCACCAGCAGCAGTTAGCGCATGGGGTGTTCCCGGTCTGTTGGCTGGCTATCCCGGCATTTCGCTCAGTCAGGGTCCACATGGTGCTGGTATTGCTGCTCCGCTCGCCTTGGGACATGGTGCTGGTATCTACGTGGCGAAAACACGCGGTGCTGTGCATACTGCCCCCTTGCCCGGTC